GGACACATACTACTAGGCCAGTCATAACTAAATATACAATATGCTGAAAACATCTATTAAAATAAAACCTTAGCCGTAGAAGAAAGAGGAAAAATCCTGAAACTATTAAAAATCTTAGAAGGGATGAATATTCCTGTGGAAAACATCTTGAACAACTTTGTATACAAGACTATGGCATTGTATCTATATCAAGGCCATTCTAAAAGAAAAGTTATTGTATATAAACTTATAATTTTAGCTAATAGTGACTTCTAGTTAGAAGGGTACTGTCAAGTGGAATATTTTATTTTTTAAGAATTCAGTAAAAAGATTCTCTCCAAGTGGAGGAGAACCTGTTTATGGAAGTACTTACCATCTTAGCATACTGTCATCTTTGTTACTACCTTTTGCCACTCTCCTTTACTCATAAGAAGCAAAAGATATAAGGACTTATGATTATTGTTTGGGAGTGTCAGAAAGGCAAACCGAGCTCATCTTTGAGCTTAGAAGGAAGCAATTAAAAACAAAATTACCTTTGTCACTGTGGGATAGATGTAGGAATCAACAAACAGACCTGATTGTAATTAGGTGGTTAGATCAGGCAGTCCAGGTTGCATACATCAAAGGAATAGACAGGATTGGAAAGAATAAATTCTCTCTCTCTCTCTCTCTCACACACACACACACACACGGGCACACACACAGAGAGAGAATATATATATTCCCTCACAGAGAGAGATTCTCTTTGTGTGTGTGTCTATATATATATGGGCCAAAGTTTGGAAAAGTCAGGTAAGGCAGGTATGTTCAAACATATACTATAACTTCAAACATGGGATTTGTTCCTTGGAGTGCAGAGAGCACCTACAGAAGAAACCTTTTTCCACTTTAGCCTTATTCCTGTACTAGGCTATAGCAGATAATAGTTATGATTTACTAACTAATCACTATTTGCTGGGCACTATTTCAGGTGTTTCACATGTCTTATTTAATCCTCATAACAACCATATGGAGTGCTGTTATTCTCACTTTAAAGAAGGTGAAACAGAGATAAAGGATAAGTCACTTACCCAATGCCCACAGTTAGGAAGTGAGGAATCTGAAATTTCAATGCAGCAAGCTCACTACAGAGTTGTTTAAGCTGTTAACCATGATGCTAGATTATCTCCTATATATAACTATGCATTTGACCATCTTCAGTCTTCTCCTACCCTGACTATAGCACTTATAATAGAAGCCTCTGACAACTTATGAAGTTTTCAGTGCATACATACAAAATCTCTAACCACCCAGACCCTATTCGTAAGCCAGCCTCAGCATCAAGAGGCTAAAACTCTGAACAGTCAATGTCTATTCCTGCTTAAACAGATAGGATCCAGTTAGAGCCTGGTCTTCTGCTGTATTAAACACCTACAGAAGTCGTACCACCCAGGGTCTGGCACTACATGATTCTTAGTATGAGTAAAGGAATGTACCAACAACCTGAAGCTTGTTTCTATTCTGGACTATGTGGCATTCATAGAAAACTTTCAACCAACCAGTAACTCTTGCATGGGCAGCCTAACTTAGAGGCTGTTTCTCTGGGATGGCCATATCTTCCATAGAAGTGTCTGAATATTTATGATCAGGTTACCCAGAGGGAACAACATGTAGGAAGGCCCTAAAAGAGGAACTGAGAGTCAAGTATGACTAGAGCACATAGCAAGATGGAGAGTGGTAAGTGAAGACATTAGAAAAAAATATATTGCCCTAGTTATAGACTTTTTAAACAACTGATTATGTTTGAACCCTGGGCTCTGACACTAATTATGTGGCTTTGCACAAGTTACTAAACTACTTAAACCTTCAATTTCCTCATTTGTACATGGGGAAAATATCAGTACCTACCTCATAGTGATGGGAGGATGGCATAAGAATGCATGTAAAGCATTTTTTACTTACATCATAGTAAGTATTCTTATAAATATTACACAGTGACACACAAACACATACATGATATAGATATAGATGTAAGTATAGATAGAAAGAAACTGAAAGACAGAGTGACAGAGACCTGATATCTTGGGGTCTTGGCCTTGTGATCCATGGTGAGAACTTGAAATTTTATTCTAAGGTAATTGGAAGTTATTGAAGAGGCTTAAGAAGAAATATAACAAGACTAGGTATGCATATTAAAATAATACCCTAGCTGATTGTGGCAATAGGATTGGACTGAAGCAAGTGTAAGATATGGGGAAACCAATTAGGTGTCGGTTACAATTGTCCAGGGAAAAGATGGTGGTGTTTCAGACGATGATAGTGTCAGAATGAATAGAGATAATGGTAGGAAGAGGGACATATTTGAGATCTATTTAGGAAGCAGAAGGGATAGTGACTGGTGAGCACTTAACAATTTCTTTTTCTCTTTTTTCTTTTCCCAATTTCCCCTTTCACACCCCAGGGAATTAAGGAGAAATGGCTGAAGAACAGAATCAATAGTTGATAGATTAGTGTAGGACACTTTGTGACACATCTTAGATCCAGGAGAGTTTAACACAGTAGGGACAGTATATTTTGGTGAAGAAATGTGTTCAATTTTCGATATTGTAAAGAATAACTAGCTCCAATTTAACCTAGACTAGAAGTCCTCTATATTTTCTACCCCCTCCTCCATCCATAGACTCTAAGCAGATTCTACATTCAACACTCCAGGCCTGGGAATTTGCAAAACCCCAAGAGTCTTAAGACTTGATCATTACTCTACGGCTCTTCATAAGAAAGACTCTACTCAGAGGGTTGGCCAGGAAGGGAAGGGATAAACAGGAAAAGAGATGCTGGAAGACTAGATATAGTGAGAAAGTGTGGAGATTGAGAGACAGGGAGAAATAGAGAGATTGAGTGATTAAAGTATGAGAGAGGTCCATTTAGTTCATTCTCCAAAGGTTTCGGGAGTAAATACATGCTCTGACCTCTTCCACAAAGGACTTGGGTGTTGTGAACTAAACGGTATCTGCTTCAGAGAGCACCCCAACCAAGCTCAGTAACATTGTGGTTCTTGCACACTCCTAGATACCGCCTTATTGGTCTTGGGGAAGATCTGGATTACCAGGCAGAGAATCTTGTACCCTTCCCTTACTTTCTCCCAAATGTACAGTGTCTCTCTTTCTCTGTTCTGAGCCACCCAAAGATGGGAGTGGAATGATGCAAGCACTCTTGTGGCCACCACCACTCTATGACAGCTCTGGGTCAGACCTGAAGCCAGCACAGCACTGTGTCTCCCCAAAGGCCTGCTATAATCACTCCCTGGCTACTGCCTTTGTTTTTTCAAGGGCCAGGGGCTCTACAATCAGAAGATGGCAAAGCCAGCCAGTCCTGTGTCCTTCCTTTAAGGGCAGCACTCCAGGTAGGTCCCCAGACTCCAGGTAGGTCCAAAAGTGCCATCAGGAGTCAGGTTCTAGGGTCAAAAATTTAGAAGTCTGCTTGGTGTTCTATTGTACTATAGCTGAGCTGGCAATCATACCACATGATGTAGTCACTCTAACTCTCCCATTCCTTTTCCAAAGGCAGAGGGGCCTCACTCTATAGCCGCCACCACCACAGACCATGGGGAGTACTGCCAGACTATTGCAAGTGAGACCCTGGGCCCTAAGGCCCCAGAGCTCTTCAGTGAGCATATGATAGATGCTGCCTGGCCTGGGACTCACCTTTCAGGGTAGTGGGCTCCCTTCTGGCCCAGGGCAGGTACAGAGATGATGTCCAAGAGTCAATTCTAGAATCAGGGACCCACTTGTTGCTCTATCCCATCGTGGCCATGCTGGTGCAAGATAAAGTCTCCTTTATTTTCCCCCTGGTTTTCTTAAGCAGAAAGAGTTTCACCCTGTATCCACCATAGCTGGTAATAAGGTAGTCTCACCGGAAGCCAGCAAGTCTCAGCATCTCACCCAAGGCCCTCAATGTAGTACCTGGATATTGCTACTGGTTGTTCAGGGCCAAAAGGCTCTTCAGTTAGCAGGTGATGAATGCTGTCAAGACTGTGTCCTTGCCTTCAAGGCAGCAGGTTCCTTTCTGGTCCAGGGTGTGTCTAGAAATGCTGCCTGGGAGCTAGGGCCTGGAACGGGGTCCTCATGACTCTGACCAGTGCCCTATCCTGCTGTGGCTGAGCTGGTATCCAAAATGCAAGACAAAGTCCTCCACATTCTTCCCTCTCTTCACCTCAAGAGGAAGAAAGAGAACTCTTTTGGAGCTACAAGCTGTACAGCTGAGAGTTTAGGGGAGGAGTGATGCCGGCACTCTCTTAGCTGCACTCACTGGTGTCTCAGTAGGTCACATGCCCCCTCAGACCACTGTTCCTGGGCCCAGTTCAGCACTAGGAATGCTTAAGAGTTGTAGTCCCTGTGTCCTAGACTGCCTATCAAGTTGGCTTAGAAATCCAGAGCACTTTGGCTCTGGGTGGCAAGGTTTGCACGAACTCAGTTCCACCCACGGGAATCCAAGGTTCCCCTCTGGCTAGGACTGGTTTAAATGCTCCCTCTGTGGGTGGGTGTCAGCTGAGTTTTATTCTGTTTTCCTTTCTGCTGTAACAGGCAGCACTGAGTTTAATGCCTCACAATTGTTGTGCTGTCCCTTCTCCAATGCACAGAGATGCTCCATTCCACACTGCCACTGGAGGGTTGGGGAGAGGTGGTGTCAGTGATTCAAGGTAGTTTGTTTTTTTTTTTTTTCTATCTCTTCAGTATTTCTTTCCATAACATGGAGTTAAAACCAGGTACTACGAGGGCTCACCTGAATTTTGGTTCTTATATAAGTGTTTCATTCTGTGTAGATAGTTGTTAAATTGGTGTCCTTGCTGGGGTGATGTGCAGCAATTGATGGAGCCTTCTATTACACCATCTTGCTCCACTCCGGATACCTTTTAAATAAAGGAGGGATAAAGGAAGAGAAGAAGGAATGAAGGAAGAAAGGAAAGAAAGGAGTAAGGGGCCCAGATCAAGGGATCATTCTACAACACCACTCAATTTCAGAAATCACTTAGCAATTCTCAGTTCATTTTATGGAATTTATTCATAATGAAATTTCACATTTCAAATAAAATTCCTTATTCAGATATGATGCTTTTGTGTGGCTCCTTAGCTTTTGCCAGTAATTAATAAAGTACTCAATATTTGGTATGACCAATTTGCAATCAATTGTGTATGCATTTCACCGAGCAGTTTATAAAGATGCATGTCATAAATCAGTATGCAAGTGTTACGCTGCATTTTGGTGATAGTAAACATCTGCCATCCCTGCTGAGTTAATGAAGTTGGATATTAGAAATGAAAGTTTTGTTCAGTAGTCATAGAGTGAGAGAGGGGGGAAATAAAAAGTTCAAGATATAAAGAGATAAGAAACAATGGCATAAATGCAGAAAGAGAAGTTAAGTACTTAGAGCATACATAATTCATACTCATGGTGTTTTTTTAACGTATTCTGAGTATGCTTTTAAAATGATCAGATGGCCATATATATGCACACACGTATGTTTTTTTCCACAGAAAACCTAATAGTTGGAATTCAATTGCACATGTTCTATCTTATGAGGAATTTCCGACTCTTCATAACTTGTGTATCGAATGTGTTGTTTCTCTCTTTGAATGTAGCTTGATGTTGGAACTTCTGGTGTAGAAAACTCTGCAAATAAGTGAAAAATATCAAATGTAATTAAGTGACATTTAATAAAATTTTTATTCTCATTCAGATATGCTTACGTTTAGTTATTTTAGAAATCTATTTAATAATTCTTAGAAATCTGTAGTGATTTAAATCAACATATGAAAATATCTTCTTTTGGTAAAATAATTCCTAGCTGCTTTTAAATAACGATTAAATAATTGTTATATAGTTCCTTCATATTGGTTTAGATATTGAGCAATTCAGTTCCCATACTAGAGTAAAAAGCAAACATTATGGGAGAAAATTTATATAAGAAAAGCAAATATTTCTTTTTTTCCTCATATTGTAGTACAAAGGTCCACACTCTGATATTGCACAATGATGAATATTATTACTGTATTAACATAAAATTGAATATTTTTGCTTTTATGAAATATCCCATTTGTCTTTTTTGTATGATCATCTGCATACATTTTTAAATACATCACTAATTGTTTTCACAACATATGTTATCATAACAACATTATTTATGTCACATAACCAGAGTTTTGTCTCTGTATAGAATTGTTTTATGATAGAGGTTCATGCTAAAACTTAATTTCCCCAGCACAACATGTTACTTTTTTTTTTTTTTTTTTTTTTTGAGACTCGAGTCTCACCCTCTTGCCCAGGCTAGAGTGCAGTGGCGTGATCTTGGCTCACTGCAACCTCCACTTCCCGGGTTCAAACGATTCTCCTGCCTCAGCTTCCTGAGTAGCTGGGATTACATGCCCGTGCCACCACACCCAGCTAATTTTTGTATTTTTGCTAGAGACAGAGTTTCACCATGTTGGTCAGGCTGGTCTTGAACTCCTGACATCATGATCCTCCTGCCTCGGCCTCCTGAAGTGCTGGGATTACAGATGTGAGACATTGTGCCTGGCCAACATGTTACTTTTGACAATTAAAAATCTCCATTCATAAATTTACTTTTCTATTCCAAGAACCATAAGGAAACATGTCCATGAACATTTAAAAATGTCATTTTAAAACAGATCTGAGAAAATATGAATACTGTAGGCTTTTAAGAATTCTTTTTTTCACTGAATGGAAGATTTTATTTTTTAAGTTTTATTTTAAGTTCAGTGTTATTTATGAAGATTTGTTATATAGGTAAACCGTATGTTACAGGGGTTTGGTGTACAGATTATTCTGTCACCCAGGTAATAAGGATAATATACAATTGGTGTTTTTTTTTTAATCTTCTCCTTCTTCCACTCTCCACTCTAAAGTAATCCCCAGTGTCTGTTGTTCCCCTCTTTGTGTCCATGTCTTCTCATTGTTTAGCTCCCAGTTATAAGCAAGAATATGTAGTATTTGTTTTTATATTCCTGCATTAGTTTGCTTAGGATAATGGTGGGAATTTTTTGTGTTTACTGAAAAACATTACACTGGCCATCTTCTTCATTCATACAAGAATGATTCAAAAATTTAAAAAATATGTATTTTTTGCCCACCACTTTGTGGCAGGCACTATGTTTGGTGCTGAGGATACAAGAATAATAAAATAGAGCAAGATAATAATAACAAGAATAGAGCCTTATCTGGATGAGTTTAAAGTCAAGTAGGAAATACAGAACAATAGATGTAGACAAATAATTATAACATGAATACCGTAGTACAAGAATGAAGGCAATAACTTGGGAGGGCAGAGGAGAGAGCACTGCCTCTGATTAGACATTTTGGAAAAGCTTTATGAGAAATGTGATATTCAAAGTAGGTATTTTGTGGATGATTTGGAGTATTTCAGGCATGAAATCATAAATGCTTGGAAAACATATACTTGGGAAGCAGTAAGTTTGGTATGGATAGAGCTTAGGGTGAGATTCCAAGAGCAGCAAAAGATAAAGCTGGAGACCTAGAGAGATAAGAGGAACTAGAATTTGAAGAGCCTTTTATGCTTTCTTGAGGATTTTTGACTTTGACCTATAGGCAATAAGGTCAATTGTCTTTTAAGCTGTATCAAAATCAGGTTGATTACTCTGGCAACAGCGGAACAGTTAATCCTGAAATGGAAGGGCAGGTGGTAGAGGAATTAGCAATAATTTGGAAGGGACATAATTAAAACTTAAACTAAGTCCGTGGCAGAGGGAATAGATTTTCACAGGACTGAAGGGGTTTCCAGGATGTAGGACTTTTGGCTTTAAAACAAGGGCCTTCCCAAGGAACTGAGATGAGTTGGTCACTTGTTATTTAGGACAAAGGATCCCTATGACTTTGTGCATGATTCGATTTAGGGAGAGCAGTAAAGGAGATAAAAGTGTCTTCTAGAGTTCACAGTGTTCAGGCTTAGATGACACGATTCACAGAGGTACAGAGTACAGGACAGGAGCAGGGTGGGTTGGAGGGATAACAATTTCTGTCTTTAAAAGATCTGTCAGAAATACAAATGTACAACTATACCATAGACTATTAGAATCACTGGTCTAGAGAGATGTTTATGAACTGAAATTAGATTTGAAATTAACCAACAGGACAGAACCCTGGAAAATAACAACATTTAAACTGTGTACAGAGTTGAAGGTGTTTCAGTAGGAGTTTGAGGAATTTTAGCCAGAGATAGGCAGACCACCAGGAGAGCATTAGCCTGGAAGTGTTCAGGAAGCATTAAGTGTCAAATGTCTATAGCGAGATCAGTTAAGGTGAAGTCTTAAAATAGGTTTTTGGATTTGAGAACTAATATATTACTGGGACACTCAGTGAGAGTAACTTTAACAATGTGCTTTAATAGAATGCTGAGCTTGGTTACCATGTAACCTTGAAATAAAAGCACAATGAGAGCTTTCTTGGGGAAAAGTTCAATTTGTTAGCAGAGACTGAGATGAACCTATTTCACAGCTATTCCTAAGGAACTTTTGGCACGTTCTTTCTTGTCTTGGGCACTATCTTTCCCTTGTCAATATCCATGTCATTTCAACTTTTTGTCTTACTTTGCCTCTTCAACCTCCAGCTCTGCCACTACTTCTTGTAAATTACTACCACTACTTTTTGACTGAGGTAGCTACAAAAAGCAGCTCTGACCCACTTCTCTTTTGAGACTCTTATCCACGTCTTGTACCATTATGGCTTTTCTTTTAGTGGCTATAATTAAGGGTAATATTGATATGCACACTGCACCACAGGCAATTGCATCACCCTTGCTCACTACCGTCTGAGCTTTTATTTTGTAGTACTTATCACAGTTTTTAATTGTATGCATATTCACATGTTTAATATATATTTCCCTCCAATGTAGTATAGTTCCATGGGTCAGAGACAATAACTTTTTTCATCATTGTTTAAATACCACAGCTCTTGGCACATACTAGGCACCAGTTGGTTTAAACAGTTGGTTGAATGAATGAAAATGTCACATTCCTCAATTAGTTTCATTCAGTTTTATAAGATTATCTGGGCCAGGTATGGTGGCTCATGCTGATAATCCCAGCACTTTGGAAGGCCGAGGTGTGTGGATCACCTGAGGTCAGGAGTTCAAGACCAGTCTGGCCAGCATGGTGAAACCCCATCTCTACTGAAAATACAAAAATTAGCTGGGCGTGGTGGTGGGTGCCTGTAATCCCAACTACTCGAGAGGCTGAGGCAGGAGAATCACTTGAACCCAGGAAGCAGAGATTGCAGTGAGCTGAGATCATGCCACTGCACTCAAGCCTGGGTGACAAGAGTGAGACTCTGTCTCAAAAAAAAAAAAAAAAAGATTATTTGTCCCACGCTTTCTATAACCTTTAAGGGTCACCATTTTTTTCTTGTTCACCTTGGGAAAAAGCTGGGCTATTCAATTTTAGTCCTCTTTAAAGGATAAATTGTTGTTTACCTGCACACATTGAATGACACCTTTATTGAGCTACATCAATTGCATAAACCCCTCCCCTTGAGCATAGGAAGAACCTGTGACTTGCTTCTGGCCAATGTGGAAAGAATGAGAGCGAATATCAATACAGTAGTTATTCTCTTGAATCCATTGTTATTTAAGACTCCATCCTAGAAGAATGGAGCTAGACATTCTTCTGCTGGCCTTGAAGAGGTAAACTGTAATGTAGTGTGAGGGTCTATCAGAGGGCCATGTAGCAACTGCAGATGGCCTCTAGGAACTGACAGTGGCCTTTAGATAACAGCTAGCAAGGAAAGGAGTAGGAGAAAGAATGATGTTCTACAGTTGCAAGGAAGTGGATTCTCCCAACAAATGCATGAACTTGGAAAAGGACCCAAACTCCACATGAGAATGCAGTCTGCCTGACACCTTGATCACAGCATTGAAAAATCCTGAGTGGAGGACCCAGATAAGCCATATTCAGACTCCTGACTCATGGTGCTATAGTTTGGATATTTGACCCCTCCAAATCTCATGTTGAAATTTGATCTCCAGTGTTGGAGGTGGGGCCTAGTGGGCTGTGTTTGAGTCATGGGGACATATTCCTCATGAATGGTTTGGTGCTATTGTCTCAGTAGTGAGTTCTCAGTCCATTTATTCCCATGAGAGATGGCTGTTAAAAAGAGCCTGTCACCTTCCTGCTCTTGCTTCCTCTCTCACCATGTGATCTCTGTACATGCCAGCTTCCCTTCACTTTCTGCCATGAGTGGAAACAGATTGAGGTTCTCATCAGACTCCCAGTCATCTAGCCTGCAGAATTGTGAGCCAAATAAATGTCTTTTCTGTATATTACTCAGCTTTGGGTATTCATTTATAGCAAAACAAAAACAGACCAAGACAGAAAATTGGTACCAAGAATGGGGCATTGCTGTAAAGATACCTGAAAATGTGAAAGCAGCTTGGGAACTGGGTAATGGGCAGAAGTTAGAAAAGTTTGGAGCATTCAAAAGAAGACTGGGAGATAGGTGAAAGCTTGGAACGTCTTAGAGATTGGTTGTGGTTGTGAGCAAAATGCTGATAGAAATATAGAGAGCAAAGGCCATGCTGATGAGGTCTCAAATGGAAATGAGCAACTTAATGGAAACTGGAGAAAGGTCCGTGTGACACTGTAGCGAAGAACTTGGCTGCATTGCGTCCATGCCCTAGGGCTTTGAGGAAGGCTGAACTTAAGAGTGATGACCTAGGGTATCTGGTGAAAGAAATTTTTAAGTAGCAAGGCATTCATGAATAGCATGACTACTTTTAACAACTTACAATATAATCTTGGAGTAAAGGAATCACCTAAAGTTAAAATTTATGATTAGAAAGGAAGCAGAGTTAAAAAATCTGGAAAATGTGCAGCCTGGCCATGTGATAGAGAAGAAAAGAGTGTTTTCAGGAGAGGAATCCAAGGATGTTGTGGGACTACCATTTGCTAAAGAGATTACCATGACTAAATGGAAGCCAGATGCTGATAGTCAAGACTATGGGTGAAAGGCCCTATCAGAGGCTGAGAGGCCTAAGATGGCAGAATGGTTTTGGGAGCCAGGCCCAGGGTACTGCTGTCCTGTGCTGTCTCAGGATGTTCTTTCCCAAATCCCCACTGCTCCAACTCCAGCTGCGGCTCAAAGAGCCCCAGGTACTGCTCAGGCTGCTGCTCCAGAGGGCGTAAGCTATAAGCCTTGGTGGCATGCATATGGTATTATAGCCACAGGTGCTCAGAATGCAATAAGGGTTGGAGCCCCCACAAATGGTGCCTACTAGGGCAGTGCCACCACCTTCCAGACTCCAGAATTATAAAGCCCCTGGAGGCATGCAACTGCAGCCGAATAAAACTGCAAGCATTGGACTACAGCCCGTGAGAGCAGCCACATGGGTACACCTAGCAAAGTTATGGGAGTGGGGCTTCTTGAGGTCTTTGGAGCCCACCCTGCCTATCAGTGTGCCCATGATGCAGGACGTGGAGTCAAAGTAGATTATTTTGGAGCTTTAAGATTTGATGTCTGCTCTGCTGGGTTTTGGAATTGTGTAGGGCTTATTCCCCCTTTCTTTTGGCCAATTTCTCTTTTTTTGGAATGGGAATATTTACTGAATACCTGTACCACCATTGTACCTTGGAGGTAAATAACTTGGTTTTTTTTTGTTATACAGACTCATAGTTGTAAGGAAATTGCCTTGAGTTTTAGATAGGACTTTGAACTTTGGATTTCTGAGTCGATGCTGGAACAAGTTAAAGTTTTGGGGAACTATTGGGATAAAATGATTGTATTTTACATGTGAGAAGGATATGACATTTGGGGGGTCAGGGGTTGAATGCTATACTTTGGATATTTGACCCTTCCAAAACTCATGTTGAAATGTGATTCCCAATTTTGGAGATTAGGCCTAGTAGATCATCGTGGTGGATTCCTTATGAATGGCTTGGAGCCATTCAGTAGTAAGTGACTTCTTGCTCTATTGGTTCTTATGAGAGCTGATTGTTAAAAAGAGCCTGGAAACCCCTTTGTATCCTCTTGCTCTGTGATCTCTGTATATGCCAGCTCCTTTTTGCCTTCTACCATGTGTGGAAGCAGCCTGAACTCCTCACCAGTAATAGATGCTGGTGCCATACTTCTTGTACGGGAACCATGAGACAAATAAACTGTTTGTTTTTATAAATTAGCCACAGTTTTTTTTTGTTTGTTTGTTTTGTTTTGTTTTGTTTTTTGTTTTTTTTTTTTTGAGATGGAGTCTTGCTCTCTCACCAGGCTGGAGTGCAGTGGCGCAATCTTGGCTCACAGCAACCTCCACCTCCTGGGTTCAAGCGATTCTTCTGCCTCAGCCTCCCAAGTAGCTGGGACCACAGGTGCGTGCCAACACACTCGGCTAATTTTTGTATTTTTAGTAGAGATGGGGTTTCACTGTGTTGGCCAGGATGGTCTTGATCTCTTGACCTCGTGATCTGCCCACCTCGGCCTCCCAAAGGGTTTTTTTTTTTTTTAATAGTAACAAAAAATGAACTAAGACACACAGAAACTGTGAGATAAAAAATGTGTGTGTTTTTTAAAGTTGCTGAGGCTGATAATTTGTTATGCAGCAATAGGGAACTAATATACAGATCAAAACTGATTCTGAAGCCACTTACATTTAAACCCACCCAGTTTCCCCTCTATAGCCTTAATATTACCCTTTCCTCTTTATTGATTGACGTTTTATCTTTTTGAGTTTCCACATATTAACACAAAATGAGTTAACTGCCATTCTCTCTTATTTAATTCTCTTAATGATTTTACATGTCCCATGAAAGTTCTTTTTTCCCAGTTCTATTTTTCATCAATTGTCCACATAGATGGTACATCTATCCTAATATATGCTAAGTATATTAGAAAAATCTGTTTTTATTTAATCACATAGCTGGCATTTTGTCTTACTGCATAATTAAAATCCTTAAAACTACAAATCTGTGTTTTCTTTATTTATCACTTTGAGGTCATTCATTAATTCACAGTGCAGTTTTTTGGGAGACTGTTATTTTGCTATCTGGTCAACCAAAAATGTCCCCCTCTGAAAATAACCCCAACGTCTTATGTTAACAAATACCAGTTATCCACTTTTGGTGAAATAGCTCCATAATCCATTGCACTTATCAAAAAAATTCATAAAGATAACTTTCGGCTGACAATCTGTTTCACTATTTTCTCTGATTTATGTTTTTAAATACTTCTACAAGGAAACAGTTTGCATTCTACGTTACTTGTTAACATGTCTTATAGCTAGTGAACAGTAATTAGCTAGAGTTCAAAATTAGCTTGAGCAATGTACTATGTAATGTATTATTTAGGTGGGCTAAAATACAAAAGAGCAGTTGCCTTGCTAAATTATGGTAATTAAATGACTTCAAAAACATAAGACCTGTCTCATTTCTGAGTTAACCAGTCTAATGGCATTTAATCAGTTTTCATTTGATCTGAAATCTCCTTCTAAAGATTTAAATTTAAATATAAATATATATTATGCATACTTATATATAAATATATTAATACGTATCATTATATATACTATACATTTGATTCCTATTTCCTTTTTTATTGCATTTTAGGTTTTGGGGTACATGTGAAGAACATGCAAGATTGTTGCATAGGTACACACATGGCAACGTGATTTGCTGCCTTCCTCCGCTTCACCTATATCTGGCATTTCTCCCCATGCTGTCTTTCCCCAACTGATTCCTATTTCCTAATCCCATTTTGCAAAATAAAATCATAGTGACAGTGAGTCATATAAACTAAACTTCCCAAACATTTGTCTTGAAATTTGTCTAATTCTGTCTGGCAGAGTTTGTCTAATTGTGTTATATCATTTTGCTATAGTGAAGTCTTAGTATTTATTATATTACCTTCACTTGAATTATTATGTTGATAACCATATATAGAGATTGAGATGCATAATACATACAAAGAGTGGCTTCATGTGCGTGGTGGACAAATGCTTGTTCCCATAATTTGCTTCAGGTTTTGCTGTTCCTTAGGAGCCATGTCAGTTATAAGATGGATAGATGAAAAGACTGTCCTTTTTGGACTCATGAATCATAAAGCTATTTTAAATGAAAAAATAAAGAATATATATTATATGATACTTTGAAAAGTTAAACAATCATGAAGTATTAAATGTTATGATGAAATCGAATGTTATGACTATATTCTGTAGAAAAAAATAAATGAAGTCATTCAGAAGTTACATTAGATTGATATAGCAGACATAACAAAATAATGGCATTCTCATAAAAGTGAAAGAATGAAATAGTTCTCCTTTTATTCTATTTCTCACTCAAACTAGGGTGTTTTTTAGGGAATTTTTCTGTGTTCTTTCTCAGGATGTATGAGAAATTACTATGATACTTAGATAAATGAAGTACAATTTTTAAAATCTTACAGATTAATTGTAGTCAGCGCTGACTTTTTTAAAATCAGGAAATGTGTAAAAGAGCTATCCTCTTTTCTAATATAAGTCCAATTATGTAGATATTCACAGTTAGAAACATTATTACCTCTATGTTCCTTTCCCTGAAACCCTACCTTCTACCAAAAGATAAATAGATAAAACTGTCTACTAAAAGTCTTCCCAAATAAGATTCTGCTTTCTTTCTTAGTATTTACATGCTTCAGCATCTCTTTTGAGATAACTTACTTGTAATTTATTCCAGAGGATCGAGGTAGTGGAGATAGGAGATACAGGGCTTTCAGGAAGGACTCTCTGAAGGGATGAGCTCCAGAGAGTCTGCATACAGATTTTTTTTTTGAGGAGAGAGAAGAAACGGTTAGCCATGATTTTAAGGACATTTGAAATACAATATATAATAGCTCACATTAATTCTACATTCTAATATCTGAATATCAAGATAGCTCCAGGACTAATCTTTGGAAATGACAAAGGTAATTGCTAAAGGGAAAATGTTTATATATTATATTGACAATTTAGCGAGTCTCTTTCTATATCTATATACCTATCTTCATCATCATCATCATCTTCATCACCATCATCATCTCTATATATAAGTCTATCGAATGGCTCACTGAAGAGGAAGTACAAATGGAAGATACATTTCAGCCACTGCTCTAAGCACTAAGTGACCTTTCCATCTAAAGGGGTTAAATTTAAATTCCCCTTCCCATTGTCATAGTTTGAAAAACACCTATCTCCAGAGAAAACACAGTAGTTACAAATAACTCAGGCAGCAAGTACTTAGGTTGAATACAAAGACCTGCAACATCAAACAGCCACAACATATCATAGAGGGACTGGAGGGAAACTAATCCATACAAATCAACTGATAAAGACTTGGCACTTAAAGACCATACTCTGAGTAAGTACATGAGTAAACACTAAATTGCAGTAATATAAGCACTGAAGCAAGAATTTGGCATTTAAAACAGACATGAGGCATATAATATTGGATCCAAACGAGATCTACACAGAACCTATTCTTATAGCCACACCAGTTAAGACTATGTACATATACAATATGTATTGTATGTATGTATTTGCATGTACATATTATGACATGATCATTTTGATGGAGTGGTTTTGAAATCAAATGTATTTTTACATAGCCATTTTGATACAGTTATTTTTACACGAGGAAATTTGAGTCAGTCTGTAAAATAATTCATTGCCCTTTGATTTAAAAATTAAGATCAAATAGTATGTGAAATATATACCATGACCTACTCCTAAGTTTCAGCTATGCCCACAACCACTCTTGAGGGGTAAAAATTCTTGAGGGGTCATAATATCAAGGGTAAGATAGAGGTTAAGTATCATAAGAAAAGATAAACTGATAGAAATAGGAAAAATAAGACTGACCCAATCTTTGTACTCTGTTGTTTAGATACCCTTTTTTTGTTTCCCGGCCTTCCTTTTCTGCCTCTTTTCCACAATCTTCTTTAAAATAAAACAGAAAATCACAACAAAACAAAGAAAGAAAACCATGACTTTTGAAATTTGATTTCAATGAAGATCAGCAAGAAAGCTTCACTTGTGCCTGTTGCCAGTCCCTCTGAGCTCTGCTTCCTGATGTCATAGTGGGCACAGTCAAGGGTTCCTGACCATTCCATGTCTCAGTTCTTAAAGGGGCAGCCTTTCCTTTCATGGTGGACCTAATTTCATTGGTCCAGGCTTCTTTCTCTTGTCAGGCAAGAAACAGTAGTATATCTGATGGGATGAAAAGAGGCCTATATAAAATCTGGATTTCGGAGCCCTAAACACAGACTCTCTAGCTTCAGCAGTGTGGACGTGTTAGGGAGGATTCCTTTGGAAGCAGTAGGGAGTCTCAGAATGTAGAGGGATGGCTGTGTGCCTCCTGTTTTACCAGTTTGGACTGAATTTAAACTTATTAATCCAAATCCAGCCTTTTATTCAACTAGGTAGATATAGAAAATTGTTTTAAGCAAAACTCAAAGACTAGAAAATTATAGAGTAGAAGGCAGGGCCAGAGAGTAATGGCAATGATGAGATTGCTTTTGAGATCGGGTCCCAGAAATAGTAGTGATGGTAGTGGCTATAAGAGCATTGCACTCCACTCATATGTGCACATGAGGGTTCAGAAAAAAACAGCAGCTAGTTAGTGAAGGTAGTTTTCTATGGAAGTAGTGACTGTATCAAACTGTGGAGGTAGGGTGACCATATAATTTTTCATCCAAACCAGAACACTTATGAGAGTGACAGTGGCAGCTGTTAAGGTTTACATTAAAATAACAGGCAGATACTGGAACTCTCCTGGTCACCCTGCCTTGAAGTCACAATTGGTAGACCCAAAGCTGGGCCTCCCCATGTTCTCCAGGAATATGGTCAATGTGGCTTCCACTTTCTCCATCAAAAGAAATTTATCTTCCATGTCTTATTTTAAAAACCCTTGACACACCCTTTTGGGTGTTATATAGACACAATCACGGGTTCTATTTTTCCACAGCCACAGTGAGGGAAATGCTGTGAGAATATGGGACAGATGTGTCAAATGCAACATTAAGCCATGGTTCAGCTTGACAATTTCAAAGTATAAATATGAAGTCATTTATAGGGGGCTCATTAGGATATAAGTGTAGGAAAGTGAGCATATTCCCATTTAAATTTATGATCAAATTGCAAAATATCATCTGCAAGCTGAGAAAAGTAACTAAATGAAGAGACGTTTGTGGGACTCACTGATGACATTTCAAATATCAAAAAAAATTGTGTGCAGAGAGATATGAAGTTACATTTAATCTATGTGGAACACCCTGAGTAGGAGCCCTTTGTATTTGAAGTAACAGGCAAAGGAGTTGCACTGTTCATTCTCCTTCCTAATGCCAATGAAGTTTTTCAAATTGTTACAGAATAAAGGCTCTATCTAAGGAAGCATTGCTCAGAACGAGGAGTATACTGAACCATGGAAAGCTAGATCACGGTTTCTCAGATGAATTGAAGGTTCTAAAACTTATGATAATTTTGAAAGGTTCAACAGCACTGCTACAATTCCCTAATTAATAATTTTTCTATTCTCTGAGACAAATATTTCACTATCTTCTCTCTCTGCAAACCTCCAGCTTCTCTATGTCGTTTATTCCCAGATAACCTTGCTTCTAATTTCACAAAAAAATATAAACAATCAGAAGAGAACTATTTCATCTTCTCACCATCAAATTTACCAACCTATCTGCATCTGTATTAATACACTCTGCTGTGAATAAAGTTTCTCTGCTTGTATAAAAGACACACCCTTTCAAACATTCTCAGGATTCCTCCACCTCTTGCCTCCACAGGAACTTTACTCATGCAATTATTTCCATTTTGTCCTATATTAACACTTTCTTCTTTTCTATTGGATCATTTCTATTAACATATACATGTGAATTCCATAAAATGCTTTCTTAATTCCACATTTTCTCTTAGCCACTGCCTCATTTTTCTGCTTCCTATCATTATAAAACATCTCAAAAAAAGTTGTCAACCCTCATTTTCATCACTCTTTCACCACTCTAATTTTTCAGTTTATTTCAGGGTTCTGTTCCCACCTCTTTCCTGAAAGTGCTGTTGTCAAGGTTATCAAACACATTCATATTGCCAAATCTAATAGTAATTGCTCTGTCCTAATCTGATTTGCTCTCTCAGTAGCACTTAATACAGTAAACCTTTCTGTATTTCTTGAAATATTTTCTTCCTTCTCTCTGCTGGTATCCCACCACATGCTCTGGGTTTTTCTCCTATTACTATTTTTGATTTACCCTAATTCCTTTTAACAATCCAACTACTCCTTTACTACCTGACCTCTAAATGTTGAAGCATCTAAGGGCTTGTTACTAAGGTCTTTTTTCCTCTGTATCTATATTTTGGCTGTAAGCCCACTAACATGACTTTAAATAGCACCCTTATCCTGATAACGATTTTATATTTTCAGCCCATACTTGTCTCCTAAGATCTGTATTCACATATCCAACTGTCTATTCAATATTTCCACTTTGATGTCTAATAGGCATCTCCAATTAAACATGACAAAACCAAATTTTTTGATCCTTTCTCACCACCAGCCCCAAACCTGCTTTACCTCCTGTGTTTCTTACCCATCCAGTTGCTCAAACCAAAGTATTTGTGCTCATGCTTGATTACTCTCTTTCCTTCATGCTCCATGTCCAATCGACCAGCAAGTTTTGTTTGTTCTATTTATAAAGTAGACCTCGAAGCCCATTTCTCTCTATCTTCATTGTCACACTCTAGTTAAAGACATCATCTCTTTCTTAGACTTCTGTCAGATTATGGACTCTTCTTCCTGCTTATAGTCATGGCCCCCTCCAAACCATTCTCTGTACAGTATTTAGAATTATTACCATAGAGGCAATTCTGCAGTGTGACTTTCCACTGAACTGACAACAAAACCAAATATGTTACTGCATCCTACAAAGCCCAGCATGAGACATCTACCATATCAACATTTCAGCCATGTTGAATTTCTTTCTTTGAACACATCAAACTCTTTTTTTCTAAGGATTTTTGTACTAGTTCTTTTCTCTGCTTAGAAAGTTATTTCTCTTTTTATATGCAAGGGTTTTTCTCAGC